GAAAGACTATAAAGTGTTTAAAGAAAAGATGAAGAAATAGAGAAGCTGGGTGTGGTGGACATGCCTTTAATCCCAGCAATTTAGAAGCAGACAGATGGATTTCCACAGGGAAACACTATCTCAGGAAAAAAGGGGAAAAGCAAGGAATTAAAATAAATAAAATAATAAAATGCCAAGTAACAATGGAAAATACAGAGTCTGCATACTAAGTTACTATTGTCTTTAAATTGTTTGATTGCCAAGGAAAGAGCTACAGCTACTAAAATACATTTGATTATAGGTGCTGCTAACCTAATCCAACTTATATATTTTAAAAATGCTTTGACTTCTAAATTTAAATTTAGGGACAGGTTACTTGGGGAAAAATGTTTTTTAAGCTTGTGTTTACACAGAAAATGGAAAGCTGTGGATTCCTTCCAGACTAATACGGTTTGATCAAGCCAGAACCCCTGAAGGAGTGGCACAACTGACCCTACATCCAAAAGAGCTAAGATTATGTGGTCATAGACCACTAAAGCCAGGATTTCTATGTTTTATCATGATCCCCATGGTATGGTCATCACCCCCAACCAGCAGGAAGCAGTTTGGAATGAACAAATTCCCAAATATTATTTATAATTGTTTTTTTTCATTTAAATGGGGTTGGTTATAAATGGTAATAATCACAATCTCTTTTTAAAGAAAAAAAGGGGAATAGTATATAAAAATGAATACTTTTTATTGGTATGGATTTTTATTTATTGCTACAAATTTAAGGTCAATTTTGCTATATGTAAATTTCATCTCTTGTTTTTGGTATTGTGTTTACACTGATCTTTTAAAATGTAATGTATACTTAAATACACATTATATATAGTCAGGTATTATAGTAAAAATTTACAGTTAGGTTAGTTAAGTTTTCTAGATATAGTGATGTATTTGAGATGGATAGATATTCTTCAAAACTTTCAAAGCCCTACAAAATAAATGGCATTTTAAATGGGTTAGGGTTTTTCATGGCAGTGAGACACAACTGCTCCTGGCACACCCATTACATCAGAAAAGAGAATGGGCATCGAAGAAACTCATTATGGAGTTTGCCTTCAACATGGCAAGAATATCCCTTTGGGCAAGAAACTGCTCTTGTCTGGATGATTTGATAAACTGGACATGCAGGACACACAGGATAGTGACTGCTGAACTTGCAAAACAAGACAGTCCTGAATGGTTCCTGCTTCAGGGAGTAGTCTGCCAGACACACCGTGGTCTATAGGCTGAAGATAGATGCTCCAACATTACAGAGGAATTTTGGGTGACTGTCCAGGCAGCGAGATGTCTCTGTCAGATCTAGAGTTTATATATTATCCTTCTGTGGTCTTTGATGGAGTTGAAGACAGATGGTTATGGTTAATTTATTTTGTTATTTTAAAAGATAAGCTACATATAAGACCTTGGACTCACAAAGATAGAATAGATGATAGAATATTTTCTTTAAATATTACTAAATGTTAGTTAATGGGCTAAATATTATAACTATAGATCTTACTTAAGTATTTTATTATATATCTTACTATGTTAATGTTAAAACCGTTCTTTTTATTTAGACAGAAAAGAGGAGATGATGGATGAGGAACTTTTGTGTATGTTAATCTTATTGGTTGTTGAATAAAGCACTGTTTGCCAATAGGGAAGTAAGATGGTGGGACTAGGAGTCGAGGAGGATTTTGGGAAATGTAGGAAAGAGAAGTCCTGTGATCCAGGCAGGAAGAGACATAGCAGGCAGACTCAGAATATATGTAGGTACAAGCAGGAAATTGCTCTCTTCCTCCTCCTGTCTTCTCTGTGGAGCTGCCATGTGATCCCAGGAAGAGGACACATGCCTCCGGAGTCCTCCATGAGGTAAGTGTTTATAAATATACAGATTAATGGCTATGGTTGATATTTAAGATAGAGCAAGCATATAAGAAATCCTAATCATTAGCCAGCAGCATTGTATCTGTGTGCTATTTTAGGGCTGCAGAACTCATGTGCTGGCAGAAAGAGTTATTGTTGTATTTGAAAGGCTTTCTGAGATGCAGCAGGGTTTGGAGGGAGATGGGGGACTCTTTGGGTATATATGGATGCCAGCAACTGGTGACGCTTCCACCTTAACAGCATTTACCAAAGAGCAATACTGAACACAATGTTATGGGAATCTTAAAGCAATAACTTTATATAAATTAAAGAAATGAAGGCATTTTTCCTTTCTGCACTGTGCTTCATTTAACATTTCTATATTATTATTTCTATATATTAATCTTAAAGTTGATTATTTATATATGGAAAGTGTTCTGTTTTTCATAAATGCAACAAATGCAGCATGGTTCTCTGCCACAGTTAACTTCAAGCATAATCATTATTTTTGGAGAAACGAATAATGAAATCTATCAATAGAATTATCTTCCAGCTGTGATAGTGAAATATTTTTTCACATATCTTTTAGCTATGTCAGTGGGTTTTGTACATGACAGTGATAATAGCAAATTAGATAATATCTCTTGAGGAAAGCTTTACTATAAATAACTACACATATAAATTTATACTATATAAAGTACATATATAAATTACTGCTTTCAATTTTTAAAGTTAAAATAAAATTATTACTTTCAATATTTTCTATGAACAGCAATCCAAAGATTTTACAAATTCAGATTCTATAATTAAAATCAATGCTGTCAGAACAGACTATTTAATATTATTTAATTAAAAACAGTTATATATATAGAATGAAAAACATACATTGATTGTTAAGTATATTTTGCAGCTGATTTGTGATTTAATTTTTTATAGAACCTTTAAAATACTGATCAAATTCATCAAAATTAAATTTTCTAGTTGTTTATAATTACATAATTGTTATCCAAATGAATGATAAATTTTATTCCAACAGTTACATTTATTAAACTAACATCAAATAAGTTCTAAGGTCCTTATTAAGTTGAAATCATATTCTTACATTAACGAGCCAACTATCAGCTATTTCTTAATTGATAAAATACAAAAGGATTCCTTTGAATTTACATATTTTACCTCTCTTTTATGGCCTAGAGAATGCTACTAGGCTTCATGAATAAATATGTCTATTTCATCACATTAAAGAGATATACTGCAAAGAAGCATATGACTATAAAAGTGTAAGATGTGTATTCACAAAATCTACTGAAATTGCTGATGCCTAATACTTTACAATTACCTACATCATATGTCTCTCTATATAAAATAAGAAAAATACTGAAATTAAAATGTTATGGAAGTATGACTTTTCCAGAAAAATAACTATATACAAGATGTATGACATTAGTTTTTTTATAAAAAATAATTTGTCCTATAATATATATATATATATATATATATATATATATATATATAGAGAGAAAAAGGATTCCTTTGAATTTACATATTTTACCTCTCTTTTATGGCCTAGAGAATGCTACTAGGCTTCATGAATAAATATGTCTATTTCATCACATTAAAGAGATATACTGCAAAGAAGCATATGACTATAAAAGTGTAAGATGTGTATTCACAAAATCTACTGAAATTGCTGATGCCTAATACTTTACAATTACCTACATCATATGTCTCTCTATATAAAATAAGAAAAATACTGAAATTAAAATGTTATGGAAGTATGACTTTTCCAGAAAAATAACTATATACAAGATGTATGACATTAGTTTTTTTATAAAAAATAATTTGTCCTATAATATATATATATATATATATATATATATATATATATTGAAAGAAATGTAAAAACCACAACAAGATGGGTTAGGATTTGGATCCTGTGCCTCTTGCCTCTTATCCTAGCACTTTGGAAAGAGAAAACAAGAGATATAGTTTAAATAGCAAGATCAACAAACAGGAGACAGCAACCTGCTCTTTCAAAATTGATTAACAAATTGAGGGGAGGAGAAGGGAAAGGATTCTCCTAGGGGGCTATCATGGTTCAGAGCTATGGAGAATCCTGACTCCTCTGGAGCACACCTTTGGCCTTTGATTTGCATGATTTGTAAAGGGAACTTTTTTTGTAAATGTGTTCTCATTGACTTCTTAAGTGATTCTGTGCACTCCCATTTTTCCCCTTTCTTTGGCAGATACTCAACTCTAGAGGAACTTCCTGTAATTCAGTGACCATATTCACCCAGTCTCAGGACATTTCCTGAATGAAAATAGTAATTATGGATCTGGCATAATGAAGCAGGCGCCTTGCTGAGCAGGCACCCTTCTCTTTAGGTATGGCTCCAGATTTAGTGGAGAGACTGGACTGAACTCAAAGAGCATTTTGAAAATGTACTCTATTGAAGAGTGTATACTCAGAAGATCTCTGTGGATATTCATACCTATTAAAAATCAATATGCAATTATTGGAAAGGACCTTCCCCAAGCCAGACATTTTCTTCCGGATGGAGAATTAGATACACTCATTTGCTATTACTATGAAGTAAATTCAGACTGAAGGATGACAGAAAACCACTAATACTGCCACAAATTTTATATTAGTCAAAGACAAATGCTAGCATACCTCCTAAAGTGTTAGTAAATACTATAATTTGTTTCTGAAATTAATAAGAAAATGTATACACATTCCCACAGTGAAAAAAAATTATTTCCATGGATGATTTTAGTTTTTCACATGTATTAAATAATCTTGGAAATTAAGATTCATAAATCTTAATTTATACATTAATGGGGTTATGGAAAATGGCTTAATTAGAGGAAAGTTAAGAAAGATATTTTTGAAAAATATGAATATTAATGACAACTGTGTGATGTTGTTGTCATCCTGACTAAAATTGCATACTGGTGGTTCTAAGTGGAACTGGAGGTCTTGTTCATCGTGGTTACAATGAGGGTCACATGCTGGAAAGAATAGGTAGGTAAAGAAGAAAAGTTGACAAGTGTGTTTATTCTGAGAGGTTCACCGGTATAGGTCACCATCTGCAAGATATAGCTTTATCCAATTTTAAATATCTTACTGCTTCTCTCGGGCCTCAGCAGGGCTTTTGCCTTCTTATTTTGGCTCCCACTCTCATGAAGGGCCTTGAACCAGTCTCGAAGTCTGTTTGCCACTTCTCTGAATTCCAGGTCACTGCAGACTAAAGAAAGAGAAATAATGTAGGTAGTCAATAATAACAAAAATTAGTGGGATATGGGATAGTTTCCTCCTGAAAGATTCCACTTCCCAGTCGCCCTCGTGAACTGCAGAAGTGGTTTCTGCTCCTGGAAGTGGCTGTTCCTCGTCTTTCTCTATACGCATTCTGACCATCCACACACTTGGGTGACAAAATGCTCCCTCACTGTGAAGAAACATGGTCCCGCCTAAAGTCAGACCAAGTTTCCCTTTCTTTCCACCTTTTGTCTTTCTACAGCTACGTTTTAATTAATCTAACACATGGTGCTGAACCTGGAAGGGTTCTGGAAACTTTGCCCCTAGCAGGCAGCTCTGAGACTAAATCGGGGGTCCCCATGGCCCTTCATGTCAATCAGTTTGTCTCAGGAAGTCTTTTCTTTGCACAATCTATCTCTGACCTTTTCTTTCACCTTACTCTCTTGCCTCTACAGTATGACCTAGGTGGGAGGACAAGCTGCAGTCACACAGGCAACCTGAGACAAGGTAACCTGTTGGGCCTGATTCAGAGGCTCTCTAGTTAGATCTCTAGGAAGCTCTCTGGAGCTGTCTTCTGTAAGGTCCATTCAGACAAAGGCCCAGGAGTCTTTCTGTTGGCTATGACACTACTCATTCAACTGAAAGCTCTGAGAATATTGCATTGTCCCTGCAGCTCTTTACCCCTGGAACTGTCCATTAGGTTGGAGACATCCCTTTATTAATTGGTGTGTTCAGTCATTTTGAGACATAGGAGATGCTCTACATAACTGGTCAAAAAGTCTAAGAACTTTTACCCCAAAACTCTCAGAACCTTTCATTGGCCGGACACTCTTAGGTCTGGAGTCCACTGGAGCTCCATAATTGAAATATCCACTGCTGGCACAAATTTGCACCTTAAACAAGTGGTTCTCAACCTTCCTAATGCTATGACTCCTAATGTAGTTCTTCACATTGTGGTAACCTGCAACCATAAATTTTGCTGCTACTTCATAACTGCAATTTTGTTCCTGCTATAAATTGTAATTACAATACCTGATATGCACGGTATCTGATATGCAACTCCTGTGAAAAAGTCATTTGACCCCCAGAAAGTATCGTGGCCCATAGGTTGAGAATCACTGATCTAAACAGATTCATTTATTCCTGAAATGACTGTCCCTGAATGGCTAGTAACTTAGAATGTTCTAGATTGTTCTAGTGATGTGCCTGTTGAGAAGAAAGGAAGACAGCTACTGCCTCTGAGATTATTTTTAAATTATGAATTAAAAATAATTTCTTGTGTGAGAATAAATTTTGGAATTATATGATCTTTTTAAGTAGCTTGAAATTTACTATATGATCTAGGAATATAGATATAACAATTTGATGCAAACAAAAATATGTATTAATTCATGACTTTAAACATTATGGCTATTTAAGGTAATAGTCCCACCTATTAAAATTTTACCTTCTCAAGAAATTTTGTTTTATCCAAGATACTCTATTTATATTGTTCATTAAATAATAACTGGTATTGTTAATATTTGAAACAAGTATACAAAGTTCATCATCTGCAAACAAGGAATATCTGCACACAGAAGTTTTAGTTGAGAGAATCTGGCTAAAAATGACCTTCATCAGGTCAGGTATTGGTGGTACACACCTTTAATCAAATATTTTACTAAGTTAAAAAAATCATCAAGTCAGGTATTGGTGGTACACACCTTTAATCAAATATTTTACTAAGTTAAAACCAGTTACGGTCAGGCTGAAAATTAATTACAGAAATAAGACCTTACCTAGCCACCTGTATGCTTCTTGTATACTTAAGGCAAGTAACTAAAACAGACAGACAGACCTCTAATGCTTCAGAGACCTGCAGAATATGGCATTTAAATTGTTATCTTTAAAGTTTATAATATCAGACAGACTGCCAGATCCTGACAGTGACCCAAAGTCTCCAAAGAAGATTATGAGGCACCCCAGTTCCCGTACCTCAACCAGTGAGCGAGATGCTCAGATGTGATACCTCCGCCTCCCAGGACCTGGCAGAAACTGTGGACAAAGCTGCTGGACACTGGAAAATTGATTGTACCCCCTTTGCCTAGACAAAACAAGGTCAGTCTTTTCCATGTCCCTCTTACACAGAGAGAGAAAAAAAAAAACCTCTCACCTTTTAGGCCTGGCAAAGATTGCTGTTCTTTGAGTCATCTGCTTCCAGGAGTAATGGAGAAACTTGGGTGTGGCTAACTGTATATGGACTGGTTTTTAACTGGCGTCTGTCACTTTTTAGTAGATTCTGATAGAATATACCCTTCTCAGATCTCTAAAATATTAATGGTTGTCAACTTGGCAGCATCAGACAGTCAGATCCACTATAGACTATAGACAGCATGTTAGCTGATAAAATAGTGACTATCTACTGTTCAGGCACAAGCTCAGAGTTTTTAGGTTTATTTTGGTTGTCATCTAAGTACAAACTTAAAGGCCTTTTCATCAGGCCAAAGGCACCTCTG